ATCTATCTATCTATCTATCTATCTATCTATCTATCTATCTATCTATCCCTGTCTGTCTGTCTGTCTGTCTGTCTGTCTGTCTATCTATCTATCTATCTATCTATCTTCTTTCTATCCATCCATCCATCCATCTATCTATCTATTATCTATCTATCATTACCCCCCCTCTCTCTCTGTCTCTCTGTCTCTGTCTCTCTCTCTCTGTCTGTCTCTGTCTCTCTCTCTCTCTGTCTCTCTTTCTCTCTCTCTCTCTCTCTCTCTCTCTGTCTCTCTCGACAACCAACCCACCTCAAAAAATTATAAGAAAACCATATTTCTGATTTATAAGGAAAGAAAACTGGGGGTGACACTATAGAAAGTCTTCCAATATCTGAGGGGCTGCCCCAAAGAAGAGGGAGTTAAGCTATTCTCCAAAGCACCTGAAGGCAGGACAAGAAGCAACGGGTGGAAACTAATCAAGGAGAGAAGCAACCTAGAACCAAGGAGAAATTTCCTGACAGTCAGAACAATTAACCAGTGGAACAACTTGCCACCAGAAGTTGTGGATGCTCCAACACTGGAGGTTTTTAAGGAGAGACTGGACAGCCACTTGTCTGAAATGGTTATAGGGTCTCCTGATCGGCCAGGGAGTTGGACAAGAAGACCTCCAAGGTCCCTTCCAACTCTGTTATTCTGTATTCTATACTATCCATTTCTCTTCTCTCAAAAATTTGTCTGTGCTCGGCATTTCCCATCAAGCAAATTTCTTGATGCATTAAAATGTCCCGAAGGAAGAACTAAACGACCAGAGTTGTTGGAGATCTTTTAAACTATTATTTGTTTTATTTTTCTTTTCTCTTGGATGAGACAAAGTGGATCCCGCAAAACAAACACACAGGAAGGTTTCAACACCCAGGGTAAATTTCCATGTTTATTTGCAGGAGTCTCTGTTATGACTCCGCTGCAGAAAAGTGGGTTGTGCAATGAAGATGTTTGCGGCCTTGCAGAGGGGTTGTGCAAGGGGAGAAGAAAAAGCTGCGTTTTGAAGGGCAGCAGCAAAACCGTAGCAAAACAATCCTCCAGCCTCTGGGCTGGCTGTTCTCCAGCACAGTGGCCTCCAGATGGGTTGGCACCAGCTGTTGAGAGACCACACTCTCCACCCTCCACAACAGGGCATCAGGTTGGAGAAAGGATTCAGATAGACCAGAAGCCCAGGTGAAGGCAGGCAGAAAAACAAGAGGAATATGGAACACAAAAAAAGAGGAAGTGGCAAAGGATTTGCCAAGTCTTGCATCACAATTCCAGATTGTGAGAAATTAGAAGCATCGCTTGGGGGCAAGGAGACAGAAATAGATTAAGCTTAATTTCCAAAGCGCAGATCTCCGCAGACCTGGCTTGGTCATCTTTCCCAAAAACAAAAGATACCCTTCAACTAGAGGTAGTCCCCCGACTTTACAACTGCAACTGAGCTCCAAATTTACGTCGCTAAGCAAAGCGTTTGAGTGGTGTCCCATTTTACGGCCTCTTTATTAGCCTTTACCTAGGATTGAACTCACAGCCTCCTGACTGTCAGGCGAGAGCTTCACCTCTAGGCCTCCGGAGCTTCTAGTCTAGGCCAGGAGTCAGCAACCTTAAACACTCAAAGAACCACAAAGGTCCTAACCAGAAGTCCCACTGTTCAATTTTGGAGCCGAACAGAAGTTTGGTTCCCCCCACCATAGAGTCTCCTCCTAGCATGGTGTCCTTTTTCTTCTGCCGACCGGAAGTCCAGTTCCCCCATCATAGAGTCTCCTCCTAGTGTGGCGTCCTTTTCCTTTTGCTGACCGGAAGTTCAATTCCACCACTATAGAGTCTCCTCCTAGCATGGTGTCCTTGTTCCTTTTACCGACCAGGGACAGGAAGCCTCAGCAGAGGGATGAAAGAGCCACATGCGGCTCCAGAGTCGCGGGTTGCTGACCCCTGGTCTAGGCCACCGGACTTTCCTTGCCAGAAGGTCGCAAAAGGGGATCACGGGACCCCCCCTGGGACATGGCGACCATCGTAAAGATGAGCCAGGGGCCAAGCGCCTGAATTTTGATCAAGTGATCGTGGGGATGCTGCGAGTGGTGCGGTGGCCTAGAGGCAAAGCTCTCGCCTCCCAATCAGGAGGCTGTGAGTTCGATCCTAGGTAGAGGAAGACATTTCTCTCTCTGGGCACAATGAAAAAATATCTGCTGAAAAAAACTCCACATTGGCAACAGGAAAGGCATCCGGCCAGGAAACACTGCTGGCTCCATTCAGTTGCCCAGACTCCACCCCGCAAGGGATCACGGGGTCATTAAAAGACAATGATGATGATGGTGGGGATGCTGCAAAGGTCACAAGTGTAAAAACCCACTTTTTTCAGTGCCTTTGAACGGTCACTAATGGATGGTTGTAAGTGGAGGATTATCTGTACATAGAAAAGCAAGTTGGCCATGAAGAGGCTTGAGAAAGCAGGAGAAAACCAGCAGGCATCTCCATCCATGTGTGTCTCCAGTCCCAAGTGAGATCTGATGATGGGAACCTGTCAACGATTAATGGTCCAAGTCGCAATATTTTTTCCGTTTTTTCCACAGTTATGGCCTTTTTTGGAAACCACACGACCCGAACATGAGATTAAAATTCACAGGCTTGGTTTGTTTTTATGCAACCTTCTCACAAGAGGAAGCCAGATTCACTCAAACAACCAGGTGACTGACTTATCAGCTGCAGTGATTTGCTTCACAAAGGTGGCCAGGAAAGTCGTAAAATGAGGCAAAACTCAACACTTCACCACGAAACATTGGGGGCTCCATTGTACATTGAGGACTACCTGTCCTTTAGGACTACAGCTCACATAATTCTCAGCCAGTATGGAGCAATTGTGTGTGTATTGGGGGGGTGGAAGTACAAAAATTACTGGCAATGTTTTCACCAAACGATCAACTTTTAACTGAGTGTGTTGAAATCAACCACAATATGCTCTGCGAAAAAAAAAAAAACAAGGTCTAAATCTTGAGACTAGATACTCCAAAACCCACTTAGGAAACTTGTCCCCAGCCTACAACGTTCACAAGACAGAAAGAGAAAGCGAATTTTTTGATTAATA